AAAGCAATGGAACTTCCTGGGATACAAACGTCATGCGTGTGACTAAAATCTTCAGCCAATAAGAGCAATGTTGCGTCGTCATGGAGGCGGTTCCAGTTTGTGTTGCACGGTCTGTCTCAAGTCGTCTTGCTCTCGCGAGGATTTTGTACCATGTGACATGGTGACGCATGGTGACGTTTTGGAACATTTCTTTGCCGACTTCGCTATCATGCGATGTGTATGAAGTGTGTGGACTGTGAAGCACTGTGTCCATTGAGAAAATGTATACAATGTAACGTTTTTAAAGTAGATGCATCTGACTGGTTGCATTTGAATTGAGGCGCGTAATAAATAATGATACTGTTCTGTGAGGATGTGCTGTTTTCTCTTTTTTCCCCCATCCCATCGAGACCGCTATGTCCGAGACCAAAACAAGACAGAGACCAAATAGGGTCGAGACCAAGACAAGACCGAGACCAAATAGGGTCGAGACCAAGACAAGACCGAGACCAAATAGAGTCGAGACCAAGACAAGACCGAGACCACAAAAAATTGGTCTCAAGACCGGTCTCGAGACCAAGACCGGTCTCGAGAACTACAGCACTAGAAAACACACAAATTAACTACAGGAAAACTACAAAATACACACCTTGGGAAAACTTAAGCTAAATGGAAACAGAAACTCAGTTACATCTGCTTAACACACAGTACAGCACATCTAATACACATTAAGAAACAATAATGACTCACCAATGACTCATATCTTATATACCTATAAGAAGGTATAAAAATATAAGTGTATAAGAAGACCTATATATTGTGCAATACATTTTAAGCATTAATTCCTAAACTGGTACCTCAACTAGATTCACTAAAAGTGACACTAACATAAAAATGAAACAAATGTGCCCATGAAATTAAACCTACACTGAGACTGACAAAGTCATCGCAGTAACCAACTAAAACTAAACTTAAATTAAGATAGATACAAAAATATTAACAATATAAAAATAAATGTAAAACACAAAACTATAATAACCCTGCTCTGGCCACTGGAGAGGAAGAAGGGACTGAGATGTGTCGTTAATAATACCTGTACAACTAATACCGTGAGTGGCTCAGCATCTGTGCCGGTTCGTGCCCTGACCTCGGCAGAATAAACACATCTGTACCCCCCAGCTCCAGTGGCGNTGGTCAGCAGCTGTTTGAAAGACAGGAAGTTCAGCCTGGAGAAGAGTTACCATTTGGGGAGAGTGTGAATGTGGAGCTGAAGAGTTTTAGTAATGAAAAAAACCTTTTTAAAAGACTTAAAGGAATCATTCCAAAGTACATAAGTGCCTTTGCCAACACTGATGGGGGCTACCTCTTCATTGGTGTTGATGACAAAACAAGAAAAGTTGTTGGATGTGGCAAAGGTCTTAACAAGGAATCCATAAAGACAGAAGTCGAAGTCATGTGCCGCAAGGTTATCAAAGTTCCCTGCTCAGGCTGCACTCAGGAGAATGACTGGTCTGTGGAAGTCCGCATCCTCGACGTTCTTGGGGGAAATGTCAGTGACCCTCTATATGTTGTGGCTATACACATTCCAAAGTTTTGCTGCACTGTTTTTGAAAAACATCCGGATTCATGGCACCTTGAGGGCACAGAGGTGTGCCAGATACAGGCTGCAGTCTGGATGGAAAAGGTGCAGGTGACTGATTCAGGTACAGGTCTTTGTTTTTGCTTCAGGTACAATGGGAAAATGATTAAACACAGACCTTAACCCTAACTGTTCTCCTGTATATAGAGAATACGGAGTTATGTGCACAGTTTGAGAAAGTGCTCAGTCAGAATGCTGCTCCTCCAAAATGCAAGCCAGTCTATGGGATCAGAGATGACCACCTAAGTTCTTTGCAGCAGAAATTGTTCCCTAGTAAGTCCAAAAGACATTTGATTAGTGTTTTTACTGATTGTGAAGAGGTTATAATTAAAAAAAACTGTGCTGTTGTTTTTACAGTTTATGAAGGGAAAGTAACAATCACACCCGATGACCTTAAACAGAATTGGGAAAAGTATCCAAATCTTCAAAACTTGATGCCAGAAGACAGCCAAGGAGTCCTGATTCTCTCCAACAGCTGGGCAGTTGATATTGACAGACCAAAAAACAAGGAGGTCATTTGTGAAGCCCTCCTGATCTGTGAACAGGATTACCCTAAACTTTTCTTCATGGTGGAAAATGGAAGCTCTGATCTGTGGGAATATGCCAAGGATACTGCCTTCCACCTCAGACAGAAGTTTGTGAATCTTGGAGGCTATTCAGAATGGGTCTGTGTGATCCCACAACTGGTGAACTGTAAGACAGGGCAGTTACTACCAAGAAATCAGGGTAGTCCTGATACTGTGATAGAGCATCGGTACCCAAAGTGCTACAAGCCTGAGAACATGGAGGAAGTGCGAGCCTTACTACAGGCCCTGGTGATTGTAGTAATGAGCTTCACTTCAGCACTCAGCAATCAGTTAGGGCAGGAGTTCTTGAATTTGCTCACATTTGAGCAGTTCCAAATCCTTCACTCAAAATATGACGTACAGGACATGAGACAGCTGTTTGTTCACGGCTATCCTGGAACAGGGAAGACTGTGCTGGCAACCCTGGTAATCAGGAGGATTAAAAATACATTTGGGTGTGAAACAAGTAATATCCTTTACATCTGTGAAAACGCACCACTAAACGTTTCTAGTTTTTTTATTCAAAACTTCGTAAAATATTGTTTTTTTAAAATGTATTTTAAAAATTGTTTTTTTAAAATTGATTTGGTAACAAGTGTAACAGAGCCCTTTTTCTTCAGAAAAATATACTTCATGGAAGAATTATTTCCAGGTATTAAGCACATAATTGTGGATGAAGCCCAGAATTTCTGCCTGGAAGGAGATTGGTATAAAAAAGCAAGACAGATAGTGGAACCAGAGAATGGTGTGTTTTTGGATTACTTTCAGCAGCGTTACATAGAACCTAATGGTTTACCATTACCTTCAAGACAAACCAATAAAGTTATTTTAGTGAAATCCTTGTGGAATAGCTGCATGCACTCACTTTCAGGTTATTATGAAGAGATAATCACAACAAAAAAAGAAAAATTATCCATACTGACATCACTCTTAAAAAACCCGTTAAGACAAGGAACCTTTCCAAAAGATATTGCCATTATTGGTTTAACTTGGATTAGCACTGATAGTGTGAAACTTCGTTTGACATGGGAAATTAACCTTCCTTTGGGTTCAGCAGAGAATTTAGATGAAAATGTGGTTGTTGTTGACTCAGTTCGCAGGTTCTCTGGTCTGGAGAGAAACATTGTCTTAATCTAGTGGTTCAGAGAAAAATAAAAGACCAGTTTTTCATTTCGGCTATCTCCAGAGATAGAATACAACTATGTTATTTTTGTGAAAGTGTAAAATTTTTGCTCTTTCCTAAGTCTGTCAAAGGTACTGCAATGTAAATATGGCCATTTCTTTTTGTCCATCCTAAGCTGTGGCCCAATCTACCTTGCTGCTCCTTTTGCTTATTGATATGTATAATTATCTAGCATTCCAAGTTTTGGTTACACTTTACATTAACAGCACCTTCATAATACCTTTGTAATGCATTCTGAGAACATCCAGAGCAGCATGTAAGCATGTCGCAATATACTAACATACCTTAACAGCTTTAATATACATTAATAAACATGATATGATAAACATTCTAATTGTGTAATCATATCTGTATCTGAATTATGTGCATTTTAAACAGTTTTTTTATGTATCTGTGCTATATACATTTGTATTAGGACGAACTTGCGGACGATTACTTCCACTAACAGATGGCACACCTATAATATTTGAGTCTGTAAGTAACAGGTATCCAATGTAGTAATTCATGAGTGTGAGGTGTGGAGCTGAGTGGGGAATCGGTGACATTGGTTTTGGATGAACTGATCTGTCAGTGCTGTCATTCTAGCTTCACACTCCCTCATGGAGTTGGAGTGCTGACATTTCAGGGACTCCCCATGCCTGCCTTCCCACCTGCCTGTCTCTCCTAATTATGCTGCCATAGCCATATCTGCTGGAGCTTACATATTACACTCACCTAACTGTTTGCCCTGCTTGTAGACTCCCTACTTTGGCTAATGCACTTTATTTTACCTACCCCTACATCTTTTGGGGTACACTGCCTGGAGATCTCAAGATAAGGATATTCTGCCTCCCCTGCTGCCTGCGACGCCTCTGCTAGTTGTGGCGTCTCTCCTGCATGTCCTGCTGTTCATCCTGCTGTCAGAAACCACACCATCACCTACCTGCCATCACCTACCTGCCCCCCACGCTTTGAGAGTCAGATCTGAAAATTTGGACAGTTTAATTTAGGACTTTGCCATCATACCCATTTGACTTCCTTTGCC